TTTGCTGCAAGACTAAGAATAAATCATTTATTGTTAACACTTATAAAGATGTATATAACAACTAACCTGTTGCTTAAAAATACCATCTCGCTCCACTACAGAGGCTTTACAGTGGTTTCCTCGTGGGCGCACAGTGCACTGCCAATATGTGGCATATGACCTTTTTTGGGATACATTGTACGTGAAACCAATGTTATCAACCAATAGCGGCTTTCCTCTCTTGGTTCCTTTTTCAATTATTTGGAATCTTGAGGCGGGTTCTGTTGTGTGTTGCCTTCCATTGCAACCATCGCACTGCAAGGCATGCTGTCTTGGTGTGACAAGTAATTTGCATTGAGGACAAAATACGGACATGTTGATGATGAAAAACGTCTTGAGAAGTAGTTGTTTGCTTTGCACTAATGGCTCCACAGAAGAATGACTTGCAATATTTTGAGCATTGTTTTTATATCTCTTCATCGGATCACATTACGTATTCATATTGACATGATTGGTTTATAAAAATAGCAATGTTTAAAAAAAAAGAAACGCCAACAACTTTCAAAAACAATGCACGCCAAACGATTAAGATGGGAACAAAAACGACTTGCGAAAACAATACACGCCGATCGATTAAATGAGAACAAAAAAAGTCGTGAAACCTCGAGACCCCAAGCTTTAATTGTTTCCCCGAAAAAGACGCGGCAAGCAAGCTTACAGTTATATACAGATATTTATCTTTTTTCAATCAAGCATTGCTTTCTTAAAAATTGAAAATGAACATTAGATAGTAGTTGGCTAGTTGTTTTTAGTTTGTATAATCAAGCTTTTTCTTTCAATTATATACGCAGATTGGACATTAGTATAGGGTAGTAATTAACAAATAAACGTGCAGTTCAATTTATTGTGTACTACAATGACGTCGGCGAACCGGCCCGTGTTACTCTGTCATTTGGTCTGATAAACGCTTACCGTATTTGAACTACTATGAACCACYCGCAACCACAAACTTTTGAGTTCAAGTAGATATAAGAATACACCAAAAATGTGATGTTTTAATCAGAGTAAGTAACGGTTTCTCCGTCAGCGAAATGGGTCTCCGTTTTTGTTTACACAAGTATTTTAAGAAATCCATCGCTTGAATGAATGTAATGTATCAGGAAAAAAACACCTTTTGGTAATCTTCTTAGATAAGAACTCTTTCTTGACTTTACAGTTAGAGTTGCAGTTCTTATTCGACTGAAGTCCATTTATTAAAGAACGCTTTCTTGACTTAACAGTTTGATATGTAGCTCTTATTCGACTGAAGTTTAATAAAGAACGCTTTCTTGACTTTACAGTTAGAGTTGCAGTTCTTATTCGACTAAAATCTGTTTATTAAAGAACGCTTTCTTGACTTAACAGTTTG